TGCCCTGGCCTGACCTGCTCCTGCTTCCACCGGGCAGGTGAACAACCTCACCTGGCACGTCCGTTGCCTGGAATGCTCCGTCTGCCGGACGTCGCTCCGCCAGCAGAACAGCTGCTACGTGAAGAACAAGGAGATTTTCTGTAAAATGGACTATTTCAGGTAGGCGCCCGGAGGAAAAGCCCTCTTCCCCCCCCCCCACCAGGTGCTTGCGGGGCGCTGGAGAGGAGGGTTGGATCCGGCCCGAGGCCTCTTCTTGGGGACAGGGGGCTCCCCTTCCTCTCGCCACCTCGGGCCGATGACTTTGTCTCCCGGGAAGGTTGTGTTAAAGCGAAGTGGGTTTTTTTTTCCATCCAGGGACGGATGGAGGGGATGTGTGTCAGTCCACGTGGTTTTTTTAAGCCGCGTCCACACGCGTTTGGGCGAGTTTTACCCCAGAGGAGAAAGAAGGGCGTTTGCTTCTCCCTGAAGACGGGAAAGAAACGCTTCCAGGGAGGCGCCTGAATCTGTTTGGGCCAAAAAAAGAGAGAGAGCAAACCAACCGACCTGTGTGACCTGGAAAACTAGCGCGTTTTCTTGGGCTTCAGCGTCAGTGGCCCGGAGCCCGCTTGCTTTATAGGGTTTGCTGCGGTTCGCCAGCCAGTTTAGGACCAGTTGATTCTTGCGCAGGGTCGGGGCGAGACTTTTGAAACTTGGGGGACAGGACCGATTCTCCCCCCCTTTCCTCTTTAATCCCCCCCTCCGTGGCTCCAAAATTTAGGGGGAGAGGTATCCCTCCATCTCGGACACACAGAGGCAGGCTGGCATTCTCCAATAACTGTGCTTGGAATAGCGACTGAAACCGGGTTAAATAAATCCGGAATATAGCGACATATAGAAACCGCTTTTTTCCCCCCTGCTTAGGGACAGACCCGGAACAACCGGCGCGGGAAACAGAAGGGCCGAAATATTGGTTTTGATTGAGCTGGGGTTTCATGGGGCTGTGGGGTGGGGGGGACGGGGAAACTCTACACGTGGGAACCTGGCGCGATTTGACAGCGGAGGCGGAAGAGGGTCCAGATTCCTCCACGCTTGCCCCTTCTCCGCGAACCCGTCTTCAGGTCCCCATCCGTGTGGCTTTTTTGGGGGGGGTCGCCTGGAGGGCGAGGAGGGGGGCTCCGGCTCCGTCGGTTTCCCGTGAAAACCAGCGAGGAGGGGTTAAATTCGGAGTGGCGGCGGGAGATTTGGGGCGTGAGGAGTGGCGAACCGGTGGGTGCTTTGGGGGGGACGTTGCGTGCGAGAGGGCTTGTCTGAAAATCGATAACTAAATCGAACCGGGGTGATGGAGGGTGGAACCGGTGATGGGTGTGGCCCAGACCCAGATGCGTGTTATCTGTTTGTGTGAATGCGTAAATTAGAGGGCAGAATTGGATTGGTGCTCGGGGACAGTTCGGAATACCTTATCTTTCATTTATTTGCCTTTTTTGGGGGGGCTGCAACTTTTAGGGGGGCCTTGTGGGAATGCGTAGCTTCTGAAAAGATTTTTTTTTCCTGCTCTCCTTCGCCGCTGCAGAAACAGAGGAGGCCACCTCCCCCCCTCCTCCACCGGCCCTCTCGGTCGGCTCCCCGTTTACACCCGAGTAGGAAACGGATTTCGTTCTGCTCGTAACAGGCAGACGGGCTGGCCCGGGATCGCCGCGGCTCCTAAGGCGCGGGGCCGTATGAACTCGCGGCCCGCTCTCTCCTTGAAACACTTTCGGATCCGGATTAAGAAAGCTTTTCCTTCTTCCCGGCAGTTCCCCCCACCCCCCACCCCGGTTGTGTGTGTCCCTGTTTGTCCCAACAAATGCTAACCGCAGAAAAGTTGGAACCGCTCTGGCCCCTTTCCCCGCATTCTGTTAGTCTCCCCAGAGCCGTGGAAAAAAAGCCATCATCTTCATCATCCTCTAATGACATGGGGGGAAATCTCAGTAGTTCAAAACCATGAAGA